GCAACATTGTAAAATTTGTTGAAAGGTTCAGATACACCAACATCTAGTCGATGCAGCTTGTTCGTATATGCGGAGGTAGTGTCAGTACTGTAACAGCACTTCAATAGATAAAACGGCATTCGTGATTGTCATATAGCAGCTGTGTTCGCCATTAATTAGAGCTGTTATAAAATGCTGCATGACTTGGACGAAAAGGTCAGAGGTTATTAAACTAGGAATATTTCTCAGTCCTAGGGTCCCTGATTGAGTGTCTTGAATCTTATGGGCATTAAAATGAACCGTAGGAAAAATTATTAGTGGGGAACTGTATTTCTTTTTGAAAAAAATAAACAGCATATAGTTAAAGATGTTTCTTTTTCTGCTCACATACATTTACTGACCTCTTCAGTCCCTTTACACCAGAGATGCGCAACCGGTTTGCCACGAGATTTCCATCTCATATTATAATTATAACCATAATGAGACAAATAATTGTTAATATTGCAAATACATTTACCTAATTCTATTTATGCAATTTCAAACTCTGAAGATAATATAATAATAACGTTTAAGTAATATTGTGTGTTATGAGGACAGAACACGAGGTTGATTATCTGTTTTCGCGAAACTTATGTGAGACTGTTTATATCAAATATTATGTGACTGGACGTTAATATCGATTACAGACATTTCTGTTTAGAAATAATAACATTTCACGAAACAGCTGTTACTATTTTCGTAATAAGAAACAGAATCGGAGACTTGAATTGAAAAATAACTATTGTAGCTTGGTTGGACATTATCGTCCTCAGAGTAATATGAAGGGAATCAAATGGTTTATTTAATCTCGACTCTGTTTATTTGTGACGTAATATTCGAAATTATTATTCGTTAAGAAATAAACAGACCGTTATAATGAAGGTCGGAAGATCGATTTAAACAGAAATGTTCGTTTATAATAAAACTTCATTTTGTTTTAGGAACAGTATGGCGCCATCTGTGCGTATGATATTCGCAGAAGACAAAGAGGGGAGGGGGGGTCAGTTAAGTACAAGACGACAGAACTTCTAAACAATCTGTGATTTTGATATGTATTTATATTTCTTACCATTGACCAGAATTTGAATATATGTGCTTCCAAGATTTAAATAGGGTTCATGATGATGTTCTTTAAATATGAAGATAGAGACAGTTGCTTCTCCGAAACATAAGCATATACCGACGAGTCTACGAGGGGCCAAAACACATAAGAAGAAGAAAATTACCGTCACAACTGTGAAAACCTCAAATCTCACATTTTAAAGAGTTATATATGACGAAAGATTTTTCTTAAAACTGTTCCTCTTTAAAAATTCAGAAATTATTTAAAATAATTCAGTTCTGGTCGCGCCAGTAATTCTTATAATTATATTAAATTCTGTATAATAATAATGATTACAATAATAATAATGCGTCCCTTTATTAATTTCTTATATATTTATGTATTTAGCCGAAATCCATATTGAGACGCTGAAAATCGCTCGGCTGTTTATACACTAAGATTTATTACCATGTTTATAAGATTTTGAAACACAATTAACTCTATTTTGAGCCGTTTTAAACAGCTCAACACCATCAAATCGTATTTGTTTAAAATTCGTTTAATACTGTTGTCCCATGCACACATATTTCTCCTCTCTCTGCTCTTAAGGTGTTCTGTACATCGTTCATCGTCCCCGTCCTACATGTTCAGTCAATCTCATTTTCCTTGATTTTGTCGCCCTAATATTACAGACGTGGCTCATGTATAAATAGTTAAATCCCCGTCTGAAAGGTGGCTCTCGTTAAGACCTGCAATTTTCTGCTTGATTAGTTTTCTGATTTTAATGTTTTGTCTTCTAGAAGACTTCTATTAGGGTCGTCGATTGAAATATTGGAGTCTACAATAGACTAAACATTGGTAAGTTTGCGGGAGGCTTGCAGTTATATATAATTCCGTTGGGAAAACGTCCACTTGAAATATCTGGAACCGGTTTGGAGGATAACATTAAGAAGGATCTTTAGTAAATACACTCTGAGGATCGACTACATGGGACTGACTCAGTTCGTGTCAAATGAAGGTTATTTATATGTTATTCGTGGTATAACGTAAGCGAAGAACATTTTACGGGCCCGTCAGTCTGCCGCTCCCTTCAACACATTATTGCAAGTGTGAACTGAGGTCACTGTTGAATCGCATTAGTGCACGTGATTGCAACAATAACCTCATATCATTACTCCATAGCCGGCGCAGTGCTACGCGGCCTGAGGCATGGTCCTCGTGCGTATGGCCGCTGGGACCGTGGGTTCGGGTCTCACTCAAGGCATGTATGTTTGTCCGCGTCTCCTCTTCTAGTCTGGCTGGTAAAGACTGGCCACGGAAGTCAAGGCGAAACCACCGTGGTACTTTCGCAAAAAAAACCCGAAAGGGGTCACGACGGTCAAGCTGACCATACATGATGAAAAAAAGAGGCTGTACTTGAGTAGTAAATACGTGATGGAAAAATCCTATATTCATCAGTTTCCTTTGCATTAACTACTTTGACCTCCATGTAAGGATCAGACGTGTACGGCCACTAGTATTGATGGTTGTGTGCTAACGTTTTGGAATTCGTTGCAGGAATGGTTCTGAATGGTTACCTGCAGTAACTAACTGTGAGTTTTGGAGTGCTGATATGTCAAAGCCCGTGATTTCTTATTGTTTACTTAATAATTTCTGCAGGTGGTGTAGTTGTATAGCAGAATTCTCCACTTATTGTATTGATAGTACTGTCTTGCATGGCTTTTTCGAGTCTCTTATAGGTGTATTTCACGTAAGTTTAAGTGGCGTATTTGTCAGATTGTCTTTTCTATAAGACCACTTCAATCATAAATTTCTATTGCAGATATTAAAAGTGTAACACGTTGCATAAATTAAGTATTATTACTGACAAAGAGTAATAATTTATTACTAGCAGGACTGAGTAAAGCTACTTGCCGCAATAACAATTTCAAGTGGAGTGAAAGGCATTGATATTCTTTATTTACATTTTAATAAGTATGATAATCATACCACTTAATTCATTCCCTTTTTCCTTTTATTCTTTAATTGGATCCGTTATGTATTTTTAGATTTTAAGCACAGAAGCACACTTAGTGTTAACTAGAACATGTTCGAAACCTTGGAGATGAGGTCTTTCGAAGATGTAGTTAGTTAAACAACATGATTACCCCTTTATAACTAACTACTAAATACACTTTTAACCTTAAAGCTTGACGTATTATCTCCTCTACTCCTACCTGATAAATATAATTTTCTACCGACTAAAATCGAAAGGTAATATTTGTCGCTCATTCTCCAGACTGTAGTCAGTAACAATTCTAAGTAATCTCTTGATCTAATGACATGAAACGCCAATACAAAAACATGCAACGTGTTCTTATCTTGATGACATTAATTGAATTATAATTGTAACCCTATATTTACAGTAAGGGCCGCTGTTGCGACGCGGTCTGAGGCGGGACCTCGTGCTCCTGGGTTCAAGTCCCACTCAAGGCATATATGTTTGTCCGCGTCCTTACTCTTCCAGTCTGGCGGGTTAAGACTGGCCACGGAAGGCAAGGCTAAACCACCGTGGTACTTTCGCAAGAAAACCCCCGAAAAGGGGTCACGACGGTCAAGCTGACCATAGATGATAAAAAAATACTCCGACAGTGACTTTGGATACCATTGTTGCATTTTTTATTCCTTGGTTTCACTAATGGGACCCAAGAGCATTGTTGCGCAAACGTGTCCCAAAAATTACTTTGGATAATTATTGCGCTTATGATGCAATCAGAATTGTGGAAGCTCAGGGATGTCCTGGTGTGGTTGCCAAGGCGTGGGAGGAGTGGCTTTTGAAGTAAAGTCCCTGGGGACTAGGCCCTAACAAGTAATCGCTCTTGGTGGTGAAGCCCCAAGGGTTAATTGTATTTGAATATCGTTCAGTTTTAAGACGAAAACTTTGTAATATTTTGTGGCTGATTTTATCGATTTGTAGTTTAAATCTTATCATGCAGAATCTGATTTATAAGATCCATTTTTTTATATGTATGTACATTCAGATGTTTGTTACGGATATGATTGTTTGTGTGCTTCGGTCTTTACATACTCACTTATCTGCGTCGTTCAGTGTTGGTTCCGTTAGCGTAATGCACGACAACCAAAACCGCAGAGGACACTAGCCGGCTTGTAGCTATAATGAAAATGAAACCCTGGTTTCATAACAGATAAATAGCTGCAGCTTCTTTATCACTACTTGGCTCGTTCTGAGGAGGCAAAACGTAATCCTGGCAAGAATTTTTAACCCACAGTGGACTGCCCGCACGTGGCTTGTATATACAGGGTTATTCATAATTATGAATTATGAATAATCCTGTAGTTATAGTAAGATTCCTTTTTCCGCGTTTTCATTTCTGAATGTCTAAGAGTTAAAATATAAAATAAAATTTCATATAGAATTTATGGCAGGTTAATGATCTTATCTCCATACAAAATGCCAAATGACCTGTTACAGCCTCGGTATGGGGTTGTGTAACTAAAGAACTACAATGACAATTATACTAGCAAACTTTCAGTTTTAATTGACAGATTCACGTGATAAAAACTTAACAACGATGAGTTACTGTTAGTTTGATATTTTTGTTGTGTTGAGACCTTTCAAATTAGGCTTTCCCATGCTTCAAGACTCTAACAGAACCAGTTTCTGAGACGTTGTGTTTTCTTAAACCACGATGATGACCAAAGTAGAAGAAATTATAAATACTTTGGACACACCTTCCACAGAAACACCCGTAAACAATCTAAGTATTTAATTTGGTTGTGAATTAAATATGTATACACGTTACACTGTCTTAAAACCGTATGTAAAAAATGTAAGCAATAAGTTGTTTATGGTTCTTCAAGGACTTCAGTGTGATAGGAACAAGACCATCTGGAGATTGAAAGTGTTTATGACTAAGTTATATACTACTTGTGTTTAAAGCGTTCGGTATGGGAGGAGTTCCGGAGAATATCACAGCTGGTGATGGTGAACACGGTGACCACAGTCTTCTTCCCGATGCAGAGAATCACCTTGGCTCGGAAACAATGAACGACAGAGACAATAGTTTCATCACTCAACATGTTTAACAGAAGATACTAGTCATTCAGCTGCCGACAACGAACAGCTTGTGCTCTTGGAGACCAACAACTTTGCTTTGTCCGCATTTCGTCAGGTACATCTTTCTGCATTAATCGTTCTGACAGAGGTAGAAAAAATTGCACATACTCCGCCAGAAAATAGTTGAATTAACTGGAAAAATACTTTAGTTATTGATGTTAAAGTGATTTTTGGTGGTATGGAATGGGGTAATACTTTCAAGGGACAATTCTTTGATTTCAGTAGTAAAATATTTCTTGTACTTTCAAAGAAAACCTTAGTCTAAATTATGTTTAATAATTCCATTCATACCCCTAACTCATCAAAAGTACAAATATGGTCCTTACGTAAAGTGTATCTTCTTGATGTGAAAAACAAATGACATCCATAAACAGACTTAGTAGACAAAATGGTGAGTTAAAGGATTTCTACTCTAAGCGGTGTATTTAATTAATGCTGCCCTATAGAGGGTTAAAGATCGCGTGGAAAACTGAAAATATATCACTGGTGTACACATGTTACAGGTGTATGTTTGTGACTTACTTACTGGAAAACTGAAGTGTTGTCTACTAATCTGTTAGTCATTAGTTAGTTAAAATGTCCTTTCTCTGTACTTACTCACTTAAGTTTTCTGGATCAACTCTATGCCTTTTTATCGTACAGATGGACTGTGTTGTGGCAGTTTGAACACAATATTTCGTGTTAACTTAATAGTAGGCACATTTTCTTCCTGCCTGTGCGCGCTGCTCCGGAAGTATTTGTTCCTGATCCTCTCCACCACAGACTTATGGCAATATTAAAGTTGCAACGTTTCATAGTTATTTACTTACAAGTGTCCACGGTAGTGATTTTTTCTTTAAATAAGACTCGTGATCTTCTGTTGAAAAATATCATATTTTTTCGTCATTGAGGAGAATAATCGTGTAATCTTCTGAAGTTTCTGTATCCTATAGCACTCAAACAGAATTGTCAAGCCAATTTAAGAGCCGTTCTACTAAAGGTATTTGGTAACAACTTGTGGGAACATAGCGTATCATACAGAGTGATAGAAAATAACACGTTGCTATGAATTTGCAAACGGACTTAATTTAATGTCAGTTTGTTAACGAAATTTATCAACCTTTTTTCATCAAATTATTTACGACTTTCTGTCGTAAGTAATGTCAGTCATCTTCTCCGAAAACATGGACAATTTTCCTCTTCTCTGTCAACTTCATTTGTTGAACAGTGACTTCATACAGCATGCGTAGAAAGGATTATATTCTCTTAAAGGCTATTCCAATCACGTGAGACATATTTTGTCATCAATGAGAACGTTGCCTATTAAACAGAACACAACAAATTCATCTGACATACAATTTTCTGACAATCTTCTCTTACGGTAAGAAAATGGTTGACTCAGAATATGACATACGAGTCCTCAGTGGGAAATAAGGTGAAAGTAACAAATTTTTAAATGTAATCTTGTTGTTCACTCACCTTGCTGCGTGTTGCTCAAATATTTCCTCCTGAACACAAGTGTGACCACTCTGTCACACTGGCTAATTAAATGCTTTTGGTCAAGTTAGATACGATGTCACGGCACAGAGGCGGGGACATCTAAACTTACCAGAAACAAAATCTTAACACCAGTCGGTGTATCAAGTAAGACGGTCATCTCGTATAAGTATTCAGTCATTAACCCGAAGACCTGATTTTAGCTCAAATTAACTTTCAATTTCTTTAAGGACGTAGGCTATTAAACGAACATACAGAATTGTTTGGATTGATGTTCCGGTATGTAATTTCCGGCCAAATTTTTATATAAAAGGTGTTGTAAATTTGTTACAGTGTTTTAATGTGGTTTTGTATTGTAAGAAAATAATTATATACTGGTGGAAGATAAGTATTTCAATTAGAACCGTTTCATCAGTTATTTACCTGTGTGTAGGAACAACAGATAAATGTGTTATGTTAAGTGAAATGCCAAGAGTGTGAAGCGGCTAGTTTTAGTACGGCGTGTATTAGAATAAAGACATAATGTAACAATTCTTTCAATACGTTGCGTCGTTAAGGAATGTTTTATTAGAGAAGTTATTAATATATAAATTTACATGATTACGATTTTATTTAACATAAAGAAAAGTATTTACGAAATAACCTCAATTTAGTGTTCGTACATTGTAGTGGGTGAATTCAAAGCATCTGTTACATTTTATCTGTGTCAGTCGGACTTTAATGCCCTGGGGATATTATTTTGTATGTAATTGGCCCAAATCCTTTGTAATAAGGAAAGTGTAACAAGAACCATGTTGAAAGAAGGCCTTAGCTGGCCGCACCGGCATGAGACTTGGGATCCTCAAACTGGTATACCGCAGCGACTGCGCCGCCGGGCTCCGACGGCAGTGCCAAGATGAAGCCGAGTTGCCAAGTTGCCGACAAGGCTGTGTCCACTGAGGACCTTGAACGAAACCTCGTCAAACAAGGAAACGAAGAAGACGATGATGAAGAGGAAGAGAAGAAGAAGAAGAAAGACGCGTCCTCATCTGGTGGAAACAGCACCGCCGTAGAACTGATGCGCTTAGAGGCCGTTCTTGCGGCACTCGTTGAGAGTAAAGTAGTAGCAATAAAGGCGGCTTCATCCAGTAAGAAGTCAGCCATTAATAACATCCTACGCCCAAGGAGCCAGTCCACATCTCACGGTCTCCGCCAGCAACGTCTAACCTCCACATCTACAACAGCTTCTTCGTCGCACAAGGAAAACAGTTATCCGACGCACCATCACCATCATCACAGGCATCATCACCGAAAGAGGCAATCCGACAGCGTGTTATTGGCGTCGGGTTTGTTCCCCAAGAGACGTCATCGGCATCACCACCATCACCATCATCACCACCACCACCACCATCACATTCGTGCTGAAAATGGTGACGGAAATGGTGGCGCTCGGCCGAAGGTGGATGAAGAAGCAGGTTGCAGGCTGCTGGAACAGGAGACGGCTTTCGGAGGGAGCACAACCACTTTGTCGCCTCCCACAGCTGGACCGTCGAACAGCTGCCAGAACGGGTTCCCTCTTCACTACGTTCCGCGGAGGCAGACGTCGTGCTGCCCCAGTCCGACACCCAGCATGCAATCGCAAGTAGCCAGTACAGACGTCAAGCATGAACTCTGTCAATTTTGTAGTGCTCTGTGTTGTCAAATATGCATGCCATGTCTTCCAGAACTACACATAGCATGTGACTGCAAAGGGTTTATTATATTCATAAGAAAGCTAATTAACTAACTGCGTAGGATGTTGTTTTCTGGGCCAGTAAATGTAATTCTGTGTACACCCAGAGACTTGTCATTATTTTCACAAAGGATCTAAAGATTAAAGAGGGTGCTTATCCATTATTTGCTCGTTTATGGATTATGGCCCTATACGTCTTGACGCTGTGTAGTCTTGATGGTGATTACTACTTTCATCCGAAGTGTTAATAAATACACGGCGCCATAGCCCAGACCCCAACCAACAGTTTCACTGTCGTGAAACCCCTGAAATCTTGTTTTTTTCCTTTACTGTTTTATATTTTAGATAAATTGTTTCATTTTAAATTCTTACATCAAACTGAATTGTGTTACTTAATTTTTGCGCGTCTTAATTTTACAAATTTATTTATGCCCCGCATGAGATACGCAAGGAACACACAAAACAGCAGTTAGAAACATAGTTTACTCTTCCCTTAATACAGGCTGTAAATTATATCAACTTCAAACCCATCCGAAGTTATCAAACTTCTGTATATTGCATTATATCAGTAATAGCAGATTCATAATTAACTGAGGGGCTGACGTGTTGATAACTGACGCCATGGAATATAATCCTTCATGAGAACCTGATAATCGTTGGGACAGTCAAGAAATTCCCGCTTTTTATTAAAACCGAAATTTTATTACAATGTCCACATGTGAGATGAATTTCAGTCGACACATTCCACTCACTTCCACAAAGAATAATTATTAATATGCTGTATCGACTCTTAGATCCTCGTAATTGTTTTCTCCCTTCAAGTCACCATCCAAAATTTTGTACCCTACCTCCTGTCCAATGCGAATCTTTTTTTTTTCCTGATCCGGGTTTCCATCGCTTCACAGCGTCGGAGTAGTGAAACTGAATACTTAGCCGCCGTGTAGTGCCTATGTTAATGCATGGAGCTAAGTACACTCCCCTATACGTCTATGACGTCGTGGAGCTTAGTTTTTGAGCAAAACTTTATTTTTATGTTTCGGCTGAAATTTTGGCAGACGTTCTACTTTACTTGATTTTAGGATTTTCATTACGAATTTCGATTTTTGTTTCAACATGTATAAATTTTCTCCACAAATCTATTTCAATTTCTTAATGAGCTATTTTTTTATGCTTTGCGATTATTTCCTATGTTAGAAGCAGCAAGGTTTTCATGTTCTAAAATAATTTAATATGCTTTGACATTGGAGATAGGTAACTCTTGTACTGATAACTAACTAACTAACTAACTAACTAGATGGCTTACCGAACCCGAAGGTTCATCACCGAATTAACCAAAGCCCTCCACCGGACCCTGTCCTGGGCCAACAAAATCCAGTTTCCTTCAACTCCTATCTCCCATAGATCCCGCCTGAGATTATCCTCCCATCTACGTCTAGGTCTCCCCAGAGGTCTCTTCCCCTCAGGCTTCCCAAATAGTGGACCCAACCAACCAGATGGCTTAGGGAAACCGAAGGTTCATCACCGAATCAACCAAAGCCCTGTCCTGAGCCAACAAAATCCAGTTTCCTTCAACTCCTATCTCCCATAGATCCCGCCTGAGATTATCCTCCCATCTACGTCTAGGTCTCGTTCTTCCCTCTGAGTGAGAGACCATGTTTCGCACCCATACAAAACAACAGGCAAGATTATTGTTTTGTATACTTTCATTTTCAGGTTCTTAGAAATCAGACGGGAAGACACAATATTTTGGACTGAGAAGTAGCAAGCATTTCCGGAATTTAGTCTCCTCCTAACTTCCTCACAAGTATCATTTTGATTTGTTATTGTTGTTCCCAAATATTTGAACTTTGTAACCCTTTCAAAGGATTTATTAGCCACCCTAAGATAATTTTGCCCGCCTGTCTTCTGATGACGAGATACTAACATGTACTTAGTTTTTTCTGAATTTACTTCTAGCCCCACTTGTCTACTAGCCTCTAATTAAGTTTCTGCGTTCCTCTTTATTGTATTTATATCGTCCCCCAATAAATTAACATCATCAGCATATGCCAATAGCTGTACATGCAATTACTACTGTGATATTTAAGGAGAGTAACAATTGAGTCAGCCACTGCTTAGCAGCCAATAATACGTATCTCACGTTTTATCTGTACGGTCGGACTCAGAACGAAATTCATTCTCTCCTCTTCTGTTATGACACTTCTTTACTGAAACTGCTGTAACTGCTGCTACCTCATCAGAATGAATACTGAGAGATTGAGACAGAAAACGGTAGAAAGGAGGGAGAGAGACTTTATGAAACTCGTTCTAAATTCAAGTTCTGCATTGTCCCAAATGTTGGTTACAAATTCATGTTCTCTTCTTGATAAGAGTTATGTACCTCGAACATCAGAATGTAGAATTCACTGCTACATGACAGTTGAAAGATCTGGAATTCACAAGGAAATCAAACTAAGATTCTTGAAATGTCGCTGTAGAGGGGACAATAACACTTCGTACTGGGGTCCAATACAATGCAACTATGTGACGTTGCAGATATGACTGACCCGAACTGCTCCCGCGTTGTGCCATTTAACACTTTATCTGCATAATTTGTTTTAGAGGATTGCATTTTGCAGTTTCTTTTCGTATAAATTATTTCAAGGATGACTTGCACGTTTTTGTACTATATTTCTTCTTCGTTCGAAAAACTTCATTTACAAGCAATAAAGTTGAACGGTAAATTAATTCAGTTTTCTTTAGAATGCCAAGTAGTTTCAAACTTCCTCCACGATTGTCATCAAGTTGGCCACATTAGGCCTACATTTTGTTTATTAGTCTTATTTCTATTTCTTTTGTACATTATTTTTATTTTGTTTTCTTCCTTTCGTATTCGTCTTCTTTCCTCTTTCCTATTTATTGTTTCGTCCATAATATCCAAACTCTTTCACTTGATATATTAATTTACATTGGTACGAGGCCTTATTTTATAGTTTTATAGCTCATTCTATACCTAAGATTCCTGGTTTGTCTGTGCTGACTACAATTGTGATGTGGTCATATATTATTTTTTTCTAGGAAAATACAATAATTACGCCAAGCCAAGATAAATTACTCAATTGAGAATCATAACCTTACAGATTTACAAATTCACTGCACCCCTTTATAACCTTCTAATTCTGAAATATAACAACAAAGCTTACTGTTTGATTCAGGACGTAATTTATGGTTTATAAGCATCTGTGACAAGAGAAATAAATTTTGCACAAACGTCATCTGCCGGCTTAAGCAATTAATCAATTCATTTATTTTTGCATAAATTTTACGTTCTGTCTGTGAGGGTTTGTATTTTAGAACACAGGCATTTTTGGAAACAAGTAGTAACATTTCAAATATAATGTCCTTCAAAAACTTCTACAAATTTATGAAAGTCGTATTTAACGGGGGTACAATCGAAATAAGAACATAACGTTTCGAAGGTAGGAGAGAATTGTGAAAAGTGATGTCTCGACTTCCCCCAAGAAACAAACCCACATAACAGCTTAAAGTAACTGTACAACGATTATTGTTCCGGAATTTTGTGTGATGTTTCGTAGTCATGTCAGTTGTGCGGTGGTTCTTAACCGCGACCCAAATTACAGCTTTTCCAACGTAACTGCCTACTGAATAAAAAAGGCACGTAATTTATAATAAACACGGAAACGTGAGTTTATAATGGCAGAGTAAAGAACATTTGTAATAGAAGGCAGTTACAGATACTGCTGTGAAGCTTTGAAGTTAGGTATGAAAACAAGTTTTTACAGACAGATAAACAATGTATAATATAAAGAAGAGAAATTAGAAAAAGGAACTATAAAACTTACATGAATGAAGATAGACAACAATATCATGTGAACCTCGGCTTTGAATCCTGACAGGTTTTCAAATTACTATTCTCTCGTCTTTTCTGTTCGCGCCTACCATTCGGCTTACATGTTATTTTTTCAGCAGATGCATCCAGAGGTCTGAGTAAATATTCTTGTCCTCGTTCCAACCCCTTAACCTCTGAAGTGTTATATTCTTTCACTGTCTTTCCTTCACAATACCTTGTTACCGCGATCATTCAATGTTAACGTGTACTTAACCCTGTCGCAGTATACTTCCACTCACCCATCGCATCACATGCTAAAAGTCACTTGAGTGTGAGATCGCAATTCATTAAACAGGATCACGGCAACCAAGCCGAAACAGCATGGTGACCCATCTTTGGGTCGCTATGTTTGGGTTATAAACTAATGCTCCAATGTATCTGAATTACAGCCGTAATAATGACACTGAGTATGGAGATAATGCAAGTGCTTAGTAAGCAGCGACCAAGACTTTGAACGCAGAAAACGTTCCACAGGCAGACAGACAGCAGTAATGTAGCAACATTGCTCAGCGGTCATTCTCACAGGGGTCACAGCCTTATAAGAAATAGAGGACAGATATGTATATCAACTACAGCCCTTCTGTATTTGCTAAAAAAGCAAAACAAAGTCCCTATAAACGACAAGTAGGTCGTTTGGCGGGAGCGGAGGTATAGCTCCTACTTATTCTTGACCTAGGCACTAGATGGTGGTGAGTGGTCAGCATCACGCCCCGCCGCACTTTACCCCTGGGAAAAGACCTTGGTACCCATTGTAGAGGAGGCTGGATGGGCCCCAGAGCCAGTCTGGACGCAGAGGCTAGCGTAAAAATCCCCTCCTCCGTGGGGAATCAAACCCCAATCGTCCAGCCCGTAGCTAGCCCTCCAGCGCTCGCGTCCACCGCTGGAACGTTCCGACTCGCGTGTGAGCGCCGCGCCGCAACCCATCGATTGAGCAAATACTTATTCAGACTATTACTAACGTTTAATTTATTTATGGAGTTACAATTAAGAGACTAATAAAATGTTAAAACATTGCAT